TTTTTTACTACTTAGAAAGAACTTATAAATCTCTTCTTTTTAGAGATTCATGGTATGTTGACATCAATCAATGTTAGTCTTTATTTATTTATTTTACATATGTGTCCAATTAGTAAAACTGGTTTGATATGAATAAGCAGTGTATATTTCTATCTTGCCATTTGTGTAAGCGATCTAGGAGGGTTGTCCATTGGGCCCCAAGTATGGTCACCTCAAAGCATAGAAGAAAAATATATACAGTAACAAATCAAATTAGAATCCTTAAAGGGATAATTTAGAACAACTTTCCTGTGAAATGATCAGCTTCTGGTTATATGCTGAAGTTTTAGCTCCTCAGCTCCCTCTAAGCAGCCTGGAGTGACATCTGACATGCTTCTATAAAAAAGAGAAAAGTTTCTTTCTCCAGGAGTTTTTGACTCTGTATTTAAACACCTTACCAATACTGAAACTACCAAGCCTTTCTACATCAATAACAACTTGCGTGCAGAAGAGTGTTGCTGATAATGCAGTCTGGTAACGTGCGGTGTGGTTTGTTCAGTTAAATCTAAAAAAAAAAGTCCAATATTTAGTTTCTGACACTCTGATTAGGGCTAGTAAAGAATAAAATCATCCAATTCAGGTCAACAGTCCAGTTCTTGGTACATCTTTGATAAAAATCTAGCAATCAGAAATAAGCTTTATGTTCTAAAGGTATTTCTTGTATATTGTAAGTGTGTTTTTATTAGAGATGTGCCGATCAGGTTTTTTCTTTCCGATTCCGATTCTGATCACCCCTGAGGGCCGATCACCGATACCGATCACACAATTATTATTTTTTTAATCATAAGCACTACCGGTTACATTATGTGGAAAAAAGAACCATGAATTCACCTTAATTTAGACAAAAACTTGTTTTTAATAACTTTTTCCAAGAAGAAAACTAAACAAAACAGGCATTGTGCAAATTGTACTGCTATTGATAAAACTATCTTTAACAGACTGATAACATATGAAGGCTCTGAAGAGGCTAAATAATACATAGAGCTAAAATAAAACCTCTCAACATTGCCAAAAAAATTCAAGTATAAAACTTAACAATCAAAGGCAAAAGCAGGTTCCATTACAATAAACAATCCAGAGTTACTGAATGAAAACTTCCTGATAGCATGGCGGCTAGCTGATTACTGCTAGCTCTGATTGAGCGGAGTAATTATGCAGAACAGGGAGGAGATCGATTATTTTTTCAGAGATTATCTGTCTCATGTAAGGACAGCGAAAGTTTTAATACGTATGTAAAATTTATTTTTTAAGTTAGATGCTGCAGCTTTAAGCACAGGTTCGGTGTGAGAGTCACTACCAGGTGGAGCAGAAGCGGCGCTCCGTCTGTCAAATATTACTACCTGTAGGGTAGCAGCGGTTCAACAGCGAGAGCAGAACCAGCGTCTTACATCGCGGCTCGAAGACTTAAATAATTTTGTGAGTTATTTGTTTAGCTTTCTGACCGTCATGCTTATCCGGGTGAGTGTTTGTAGCTGTGCGCTGCTTTACCTGCTATCTGATCCTCCATGTCTTTTTTACTGCAGTGAGCCTCGATGTAGCCAAACTCCGTCAGTTATGGCATTGTTTTTATGCCATATTAGATTTGTCGTGTTGATGCATTTTGACGTGCTTCAATTTTCCGCCGTAACATGCAAACTTCCCCATTCACTCAGTGCGTTATAGTTCCACACGACATCGCTTTGTTGCTACGCGTTTGCGCAAAGTGAAGGAAAGAGGAGACCAGCTGCACAGGCAGGTTGCGAAATGAGAAGCAGGTGATCGGCAACAGGAGACCGTGATCGGCGATCACCTATCATACACTTTTTCACTGAAATCGGCCGATTATGATCGGTGGCCGATCGATTGGCACACCTCTAGTTTTTATGTTTATGCTTTATAAATTTTTTTGTTTGTTTTAAAGACAATGTCACCAAAGGAAAAGGGAAAGTTTGAAGACATGGCCAAACAGGACAAGCTGCGTTATGAGAGGGAAATGAAGAACTATGTGCCCCCTAAGGGCCAGAAAAAGAAGCGATTCAAGGACCCAAATGCCCCAAAGAGACCACCGTATGTACCCTGAAATAAAATCACTGTCTCGATTTCCTTATATATATCACAAGTTGTTTTTCTGCCTGTAGCTTCGATATTAATAATGAATCCCACACCCTGTAGGTCTGCGTTCTTTCTCTTCTGCGCCGACTTTCGCCCCAAGGTTAAAGGTGAGAGTCCTGGACTCTCCATTGGGGACACGGCCAAAAAGCTTGGAGAGATGTGGAACAGCTTGTCTGGAGAAGAAAAGCAGCCGTATGAAAAAAAGGCTGCCAAGCTGAAGGAGAAATATGACAAGGTGAGTGGTAACTACGCTGTAATTAAAGCGAATCTGATTCAGATCTGATGGACATGCTATTTCCTTTAAATACAGTTTGGAGATTATTTTATTATAAAAAATCTTGTGATTAAAAAGATATTTGTCCTGCTCTCCACAGGATATTGTGGCATACCGCACAAAGGGCAGAGTGGATTCAGCACCAGCTGCTGCAGCCAATGACGATGAGGATGACGAAGAGGAGGGAGACGAGGAGGAAGAGGAAGAAGACGATGATGAGTAAATCTCATAAGGATGGGACCGGAAGTTTTTGTTTATGCCATGTAATCCTAATGTACTCAGTTCACCATCTTGAATCATGTCAAATTGAACAAGATCATGTGTATATTTAATGTTTTTATGATGTACAGTGTTAATCTCCTTTTTTTTGTAAAGTTAACACTACATATCCTAAGTTTGAAAATTTTCTAGTGGTAGTTCTGTATTCCTGCCATATTATGTAACTATTTAGAAGGACTACACATCACTATGACAGTAAGTAGTCTTTAGGTGTTACAACTCAAAAATGAGATTGATGAGTTGGTAGTGTGTCTTTTTTTTTATTTTTAAAATTATTTTTTTATGTGCTGTCCCAGTGTCTTTTTATTGTCCTTTTGAATACCACTCTAATATCAAATGCAGCTGTCGACATTAAAGAATGTCTTCAATAAAAATTTCTTTTTTAAGATGTTTATTTCTCTTCCTTAAAAGCTCCAAAAAAAACCCAACATGAAGAATCAGTTTTAGGGCCTCATTCTGCATTTTGGGTCTTTTATTTTAATTTTTGGAAACATCAAAATAGGGGGGGGTTGTAGTTAAACGAGTTGAGGTCGCAGCATGTATTTATTGTATTGTTTAAAAATTATTTAAAATGATTATTGTCCAACTTTTTATAAAAGGCAACATCTCAACTACTAGATTTTTCTGAAGATCACCGTCTTGAAAGATTTTAAGAACAGCACAGCAACAGGATTTTTTTTACTTGGAGTTTAGCACTAAAAACAAAACAAAATCAAACATTGTCATCCATTGGCTTTGCTTGATTGCTCCAAAATTGTGGTTTAAATGTGTATCACTTTTACCAGTAAGTAAAAGTGAAAATGTCCTTAAATGTTTGATTTTGTGAAAGAATGTCAGAATCTGGACATAACAATCCCATGGCTTCCTTTTGCTAAAATGGTCACAGATGTGATTGTATTTCTTTCCTTTTTTTGCACTAAAATCTTCAGTGTGACCTTCTTCAGTGAACATGTTGCTAGTGTTTGAAAGCATAAAACCTAGATACATACGTAATTAGTTTTCATTAAACAGATTACAACTCCCACTGGTTTCCAACAGTGGATCAGGAATGTGATTTGTTGCATCTAATTTTATTTGCTGAAGAGGGACAGTGTGCGTTGAACATTTTGAATAATACGAGTCTGACTGTCTCCCTGTACGATGGTACAGGCTAAACAGACAAATCAAATCTCACACATGCATATCCTGTATCTTATGTTGACTTGAGAGGCAAATTAAATGTAGCATCTAGTAGCCAATACATTAATATTTTACATAACACTCAGCACCTGTGCTATTTCTAAAAGTGAATTATAGCCACGAAGCTACAGCAATACAACCTCCTTGTCCTGGATTTTGTTTCCATCCATCCAACTTCTACACCCGCTTAATCTAGGAGGGTGGCAGGGGGAGCTGCTGCCATTCTCCAGCGGTCGTTAGGCGAGAGGCAGGATCCACCCTGGACAGGTACCCAGAGGGGACCCATGCATGCACAGAGAGAACATGGTAAGGCCAGGATTCGAAGCCTTGCGGCAAAGCAGCAGTGCTACCAACTGCTCCATCTTACGTCCTATGGATTTATATATATTTCTTTAAATATTCTGAAATCCTTTGTTCAGAAGGTGGTGCATGTAAGTGTTCAGCTGGGGCTTAATAATACAGAACAAGGCATAACGTTTAATGGGACACACTAGTTTGGAGCTTAGACTGCTCTGTACAAATCTTTACACAAAAAGCCCACAGTCCCACATCATAATATTCATACAATGAAATTTTGCTTTTGGGTTTTTGAAAAAGCAAAACCACTCTCCAGTCAAAAATTGTGACTTGATTAATAAGCAAGTAACTAAACACAAGCAAACGTCATCATTTTCCCTCGAGAACGAAGTTCATTTGCTCTTGTTGCAGCAACCTAAAATTACACACAGAAAGACACTTTATAACAGTCCAACCATGACATTTTAAAGTTAAACAAAGTGCATCTAATTCTGTCTGTTCAAAGGCTAAAAAAAGAAGTGAGGATAGTGCTTCCTGTGTTTTGTGTTTCTCCCTCCCGTTAGTGTTAAAGTAATGACCTGGTTTTAGGTTCCCACTTGGAGAAACCGGAGAGAAAAATCTTGCCGTCACAGTGACCACAATCACTTAGAAGGGATTCAGATGTCTGTTTATTGGACTCCTCTCAGCAGCCCTGTAAAAACGCAAGCTTTTCTCAGAAGTGCTTGCATGTAAGGTAATGAGATCATTGTCCTTTTTTCCGCAGTCTTGAAAATACTAATCCTGAATGTAGGTCAGTCGAATCTCTGAGTTTCTTCTATGCTGTACATGTTAATGTCAGCGCTATTCTAAAACCTATTATTCTGAGTGGAGCCGCCCCCGCCCCCTCAACTTTCTCTCATTTTACTCTGTGAATGAAAGCCTTGCTGTGTCCGAACCAATCCTGTCCAGCAGCAGATCAAACCCACTGAGAAACATGCTGCTGTTCCCTTTGCACAAAGTAATCTCGGCAGCAAAACTCTATGGAGAGAACACAAAACTGTTGGAGTAAAATACATGGTAGGATAAGGCATTTTTGCTTCTTTTGCTTTTCAGTCTTTGATTACATTTTATGTGGCGTTTCATAGAGATGTGCAATTATACTATTTGAGCTCTGTTCACAAGTAGGTTTTTATATCTCATTGTTTTTGTTTAGGCAATTATAGGATTTGGAAAAGCAAAGTTGATGAGTCACAACAGTCAGGATTACGAACTGAGGAGACTGAGCAATCCCTATGGACACAAGGTTTTCCATTTGGAGAAGTTATATGGAGTAAGGTTACAGGACCTTATCTTTTTATGCCACATTCGTTTTGCTTTGAACAGGATTTTTCCCCTCCAAGCTGAGTTTGTAATCACATCAAATAAATGGGTACTTAAGAGATAAACTTTATAATGGAAACCACCCGACACCTAAGAAAAGTCATGCTTTTATTACTGCTTCTTATGGTAAGTTGGTCATCTAGTCAATATATTCTAATAACGGCTTCTGTTTAAAAGGATTAATCAATATCACAGCTTGAGCTGCAGTAGTGATCTCCAAACTACTGCACCATTGTACTAGTATAGCATGCTATATTTGTGTGTGAGGACTGGAAAATACATCAAAAGTTGTTTATTTTTTATCTTATAATTACACAGGTGTTTAATATGGTGGTCTCTCATGAAAGAAATCCAGGGATTCTGAGGGCGGAAAGCGAATTTTCTGGTATTGTTGACGAGCAACACAAGCCTCCCTCCTGGTATAATACATCTGTTGATGCAGAGCTGAAGCATGGGGCAGTCAGCTCACTCGCTCATAGCAGATGGCAAACACAGATGGCTTTCTCACAAACTGTTTATTCATTTCAAGTAAAAGAAGACACCGTGCCAGGTTCATCATCTCTTCTTCTGTTAGCAAACATGCTTGTTTGTTTACTACAGTTAATTTGACTATCTCATAAAATTCTCCAAGTATCTTGTTGTTGTTGTTTCTTTTTTTTTATTTTATCTTCAATTCGTAACACTAATTAATTTCCCCGCCAGATTTTGTCTTTTTACTAAACTGTTTTCAGACAGTTTAGTGAACATTTCAGAGTAATTAGCTCTGGTTCACTGTGTTGACAGGAACAGTTGTGGGAAAGGTGGAAGCGCAGATGGACAGTCCCACGCCTATCACATACACAGTTCAAGAGGACGATGGGGAGAACATGTTTCTCCTCAACCCCGTCTCAGGGGAGTTCCTATTATCCCGCAGCCTGGACTTTGAAGCACAAAGGTTCTACATTCTCACCATAGAGGTGCAGCAGGGGCACTCGCAGGTATCCAGTGTCAGAGTCTACTTTAATGTGCTGGATGTCAATGACAACCCTCCTGTTTTCAGTCAGAACAACTTTACTGCATCGCTGCTGGAGGACACACGTCTCAAAACTTGCTTCCTGTCACTGAATGTGTCAGACAAAGATGATGGTAAGAGATAAAAAAATCTCCAGCATAATGAAAATGAAACAAACAAAAACAACAAAAAATAGGAGCTGCATGACTGTGTGCAAAGTACCTCCAGATTAAGAAAAGACTCTTACCAGTTGCTTCCAGTCTCCCTGATCATATAAAAGCAATAACATCTGACTATCTTAAGAATTGGTAACAAAAACATTAAAAAGAAAAAACATAATCATTGTTGATATTGTACCAGCATTTTAGTTGAGGCATATTTTGACACTGAAAACTTGCAGAATTCATGCTCAGTTAAAACCCTCACATATTAGTAAACCAATAAACCTCCATTTCATCTGTCCTGGATTTAAGGAAAGCTGTTCGAAGAATCAAATATTTTAAGTTGCTTTAAGGCCAAACATACCTGATTTTTATACTGTTATTTATTGTACACAAACTTTCCCAAGTTTATGTTTTCTTTATCGTAAATTCTTGATGATGGCGAGAAAACACATTTTGGGAATCAGCCATTTGCAGCCTACATTTTCTGGCTGTAATTTGTGCATGATAGTTAAAACCCAGAACTGCTATTTTTTTAGAAATTTAAAACAATCCATATGATGAAAACTTTGATATAATAGAAAGGGATTGAGATGAATCTGTTTTTGTCATCTTGATTTTAGGTGAAAACGGAGAAGTGGAACTGACAGTTGTCAGCGGCGATGAACTTGGCATGTTCTTCATACGCTCAACAGGTAGTTTATGCCTGAACAAAGAGCTGGACAGAGAGACCGAGTCTTCCTATAACTTGACTGTGACAGCAAAGGATTGTGCACGACCAGCATCTTCACAGTTCACCAGCACTGCTCGTGTAGTTGTGGAAGTGGAAGATATTAACGACAACGCTCCATTTTTTGTTTCTGCCCAACATGCTGGTATACCAGAGGACTCTGCATTGCATTCTGTTGTTATGACTCTACATGCTGAGGATGAAGACGCAGGATCCAATGCAAAGATTTTGTATTATTTAATCAACTCTTCTGGTGGGACATTCAGCATTGACAACACAACTGGAGAGGTGTTCCTGGAGGAGATATTAGACAGAGAAAAGGCAGACACTCTTACTATTACAGTAACAGCCACTGATATGGGTTCACCCCGAATAGCCACTGCAATGAATTTCACAGTGCATGTTGAGGATGTAAATGATAACGACCCCGTGTTTCCACACAGCAACTACAGTTTGTCTATCAAAGAAGATGTTCAGAGAGGGACAAGCCTGTTTCATTTTGAAGCTCAGGATCAAGATATTGGATCAAACGGGCAAGTCCGGTACAGCCTGACACCAGCTGGTCCTTTCGTGGTTGACGCAGTTCGAGGCGTGCTGTTACTCCGGGATCAACTTGACAGAGAAAGGGACTCAAACTACAGCTTGATTTTAACTGCCGCCGATCAAGGGGATGTACCCAGATCTGCGACTGTTACTATCAGCATTACAGTGTTGGACGTTAATGACTTTACACCCCAGTTTTCTCCAGAACTCCTGATCATTCATGTCAAAGAAAATGAAAAGGATCTGTCTCAGCTAACACAACAGGTGCTGCTGGACCTCTTGGGTCATACTTTGTGCAATCATCTGTAGGCATGAGCCGAGATGAGATTTTCACTGCAAAGAAATGATTAGGGAAAATATAAAACACTATCTGTGATTTGCGTGAATTACAGGTGCAGGTTTCTATCATTGAATTGTAGCTGCATGACTACATGTAGAAATATAATTTTCTGCAGTGCAAATATGGATAAAAATATAAGGGAACATCACATTTGTACGCTTGAACAAGAAACTATATGGTACTGCCCCTTTACCTTTCACAGATTGTTGGGAAGACCTTCAGAAATGGAAACTGATTACATATGAAAGTGTATTTAGCTACTTTGTCAACTCCATTGCTGTGCTTATTGAAACTTTGAAAGACCTAAACTGTCTTTGATTTTAAGTTTTATGTTGTAGTTTAAAAATGCAGTCTAGGCTATAAAATCCAGGATTTTGTGAATTGATAAACACAAAATCAGACATACAGGGCCACTGCCAGGAATAGGATGGATACCTGGATACAGATAACTGGCTCATGCCTAGTCAACAGATTTTTTTAAAATTTTTATTCAATTAATGTTTCCAATCCTTTTTTTGACCAGGTTTCAGCTTTGGATGAAGACTTGGGGATCAACAGTCAGCTTATTTATTTTATGCAAAAAGGAAACAGCGATGGTCTGTTCTCTGTCACTCCCAACGGTGTGTTCAAGATTTTACACAGCTTGGACAAGGAAAGAGAATCATTTTACACTGTCATCATAACAGCTGTTGATTCAGGTAATTGATATTCAAGATCAACATAAATTAGATTCAATATGTAAATAACACTTTCACACGGGTTTAACTTAATGAATGTCACTTTGTAAATTTGAAGGTTTTCCACCACTAACTGGCACTCTGACTATCCATATCACTGTGGATGACGTCAATGATAACCATCCTGAGTTTTCAGAGGAAGTCTACAACACCATAGTGTCTGAGGACAGTCCAATAGGCACAGTGTTTGCAATGATATCTGCATTTGACCCTGATGAGGGCATGAGTGGTGAAGTAAGGTGAAGAATCACATCCAAAAGAGATTTTATGTGGTAGAACAACACAAACTAGTTGCACAGTTGTAAGGTGTAGGAAAAACGATTTTAGATTTTTTTTTTTAAATCTAAAATCAGTCAAAGGTTGGTTTGCATTTATATTTACCACTCTTTACTCTGATACCTCTTAATAAAATCCAGTCCAACCGATTGCCTTAAAACGCTTTCTATATAGCAAATAAGCTCCATTGACCATATGTATAATTTGATCTCCCATAAAACAGCTCATAATGAGCTATAATGGACTGGTTTTGATCTAAGTATCATGTGTTAGAATGGCTTATTAAATGTTTTGACCTAATTCCAACTGAGATCTATTGCAAGACTTTAAGGTGGATCTATAAAGTATTGAATCAAATGGGCCAAATACGTACCTATACCATGCATAATTTTCATTTGTGAAACAATAAAAAACATTTGGTAACACTTTATTTGAAGGTAGGTGAATAACTTTTTAAACTTTACCTTTAATAACATAAAGCTACTTAATTTTTAAAGTTTAATCAGTAATACTTTTATAACAAATTTATATCATTAATGATTTCTTGGTTAATGTCAAGTTTTCATAACAAAGACATTTTGAATAATGCCAACTTTGTATTAAAAGGGGTCATAATTTACCGAATGACGCTTTATGACAACAGTCATAAATATTCATGAAGGCTTATTCATGTTCATGACAGGTGTTATGTCGTGTTTATGACAGTGTCATGTCAGTCTTATTCAACCCATTTTAAATAAAGTGTTACCAAACATTCATCATTTTCTCTCCACCTTTCAATAATCTGTCACATAAAAACCCTAATAAAATACAATGAAGTTTGGAACTGTAACTAATGTGGAAAAGGTTTAAAAGCATAACTGTTTCGGATGTCACTGTATACTAAAAAATGTTTCACTTTTTCTTTAAATTAGGTATTTCATGGAAAACCACAATGCGCCATTTGCTATTGAGGAAACGTTCGGAGAACTGCTTACCACTGATTTCTTGGACAGGGAGACTGTAGCCTTTTACACGCTGACAGTGATTGGCACGGATATGCATCCCACACAGCCGCTGTCAAGCTCTGTACTTGTTAATGTCCTGGTTGGTGATATCAATGATCACTGGCCTCAGTTTCTGGACAGCCCCTTTGTGGCTTATGTGCCCACAGAGTTTCCTCCAGGTGAGATGCTTTGCTTCCTTGTGACATTGAAGGTGACACTGTTGAGACTGAGAGCAAAATTTACATATTTTGTTGGTATTTTTCCACAGGCTCAGTTGTTTGTGCAGTGAGAGCAATCGATGAAGACACTGACATGAATGCAGAGCTGCAATACTCTTTATATGGACAAAGTTCAGACCTGTTTTTGATTGATCCGAACAGCGGCACAGTATTCACTTCAAGCTTACTGCAGAGCACAGATGATATTGTCATCAACGTGTATGTAGAAGACGCTGGAGAAAACCCAAAATTTGACATCACTACTATCAGTATCAGGTTTCACAACATTTCTGACTTCCCAGAGATGAATGTGGATGTTCTGAGTTATTCTCTCTTTGAGGACGAGCCAGTGGGAACAGTAGTAGCTGTTATTTCTGCAGCAAGCATCAGAGCTGAACCTGTCTCTTTTTATCTTCCTTCTGGAAACTTTGAAGAGATGTTTCACCTAGACCAATTAGGTGGAGCACTGACAGTTGAGAACCCACTGGATTATGAAAGCAAAAAGGAATTTTCTTTGTTGATAGAAGCCAGAGACTCTGGTTCGCCTCCATTTTCATCATTTTTAGAAATTCACATAAACATCACTGATGTAAATGATAATTTTCCCCAGTTTACCCAGACTGAATACAGGTGTGAGGTTTATGAAAATTCCCCACCATCTGGAGTTTGTGATGTTCTTGCTCTCGATGCGGATTCTCCCAATTACAGCACAGTATGGTACAACATAACAGAAGGAAATAATGATGAGTTTTTTACACTTGACCCTGAAAATGGTTTGGTAAGCACCATTGTAAGTTTAGATCGAGAAAGCATTCCCTTTTTTAATTTAACAGTTGAGGCTGCAGAACCTGACAACCCCCTTCATACAGACCAAGCAACAGTAATCATTTCTGTTTTGGACAGGAATGATAATGCACCTCGATTCTCTCAGATACATCTTGCAGAGGTCTCTGAAAATGCTCCGATAGGGCACACAGTTCTGCAGATAACCTCAACTGATGATGACGTTGATTCTAATGCAGTAATTAATTATTACATACCTGACCAAAATCAGGATCTCCCTTTTGACATCGAATCCACCACTGGCTGCATCTTTATTAGAAGGTCTCTGGACAGGGAGGCACAGGACCATTATGTCTTGAAAGTAAATGCAAATGATTCAGCATGGAGTGTTAGCACTGATGTCAGTATCTTTGTTTTAGATTTCAATGATAACCGACCAGTATTTTCTAGTGATTTGTATTCAGTTGTTATCCCAGAAACAAAACATTCAGAGATTTTTGTTTTGCAGGTCTTTGCAACAGACACAGATATTGAACAAAACAGTGAGGTTGTCTATGTTGTTGAACCTCCAAATGAATTATTTTGGGTAGACGCTTCTTCAGGAGATGTTTTTTCAAAGCAGCCACTCCTTTTACACAATTCTACTTTTGAAATCTATAACTTCACAATTGTTGCATTTGATTTTGGCAGCATTCCTCTGCACAGTAACACTACTGTTACAGTGAGATTAGAACAACTGAACCTCCACCCTCCAAAGTTTTTGCCTTCTCCAGCACTGGTTTCCATTCCATATGACCTATTGGTGGGAACTGAAGTGGCCAAGTTTACTGCAACAGATCTAGACGTCAATAGCGGTGATTATATTAAATATAATGTCAGTGGAGGCAATGCTTCTGATTTCTTCTGGATTCAAGCTGACAATGGAAAGTTATTTTTAAGTCAAACTTTAGAAGAACGTCAAAATGAGTCACTTACTTTATTAGTTGTGGTCAAAGATCAGGGCTTTCCTCCTTTGATCTCTGAGACTGAAATCACCTTTGTAATTACTGGGAAAAATCACTTTTCTCCCAGGTTCAGTGAACCAGAAGTCACGTTCTCTGTCCCTGAAGACTTGCCTGTTGGATCAGTGGCTGGGAAAATCCAAGCAGAAGATGGGGATTACGGTCCCAATGGTGTAATTAAATACCTCATTAGTCCTGAAAATCAATATTTTCCAGTCTCCATTGGCGAATTCTCTGGGCTGCTAACACTTACCAGAGAGCTTGACTTTGAAAAAGAAACCAGATATAATCTGCAAATCAAAGCAACAGATGGTGGATGGATAGCTAAATCTGCCTGGATGAATGTAACTCTGATTGTTGTGGATGTAAATGACAATCCACCTGTCTTTTCATTGTCAGAGTATACCACAACAGTGCCTGAAAATTCAAAAGTCAGAACAAAGGTTCTAGATATAAAGGCCACCGATATCGACTCAGGAGTAAATGCACAAATATCCTACTCTTTTATTGCTGGCAGTTTTGATAAATTTGCAATCGATTCAAGAAATGGGAGTATCACTACTTTGGATATCTTTGATTACGAGCAACAGCAGATGTTTGATTTAACAGTCAAAGCTTCAAACACCGCCAGACACAACTTGTTTGGTTTGGCTCATGTTATCATCCACATCCTGGACCTCAATGAATTTAGCCCAACCTTCACAAAAGAAAGTTTTAGCTTTTCAGTATACAAAAATGTTCCTGTTGGAACGTCAATAGGAAAAGTGACGGCCACTGATAATGACAGTGGTCCTGAAGGTGAGGTGTTTTATCTAATGTTTGGCCATGGCAAAAATTTTGGCTTTGACATTGACCCACTTTCTGGAGAGATATATACAAGTCATAGTTTGAGGGATCAAGGAAACGGTAAAGTAATTTTGAAAGTCTTGGCAAAAAACTCTGGTGTTATTCATGGAACAGACATAGCTGAGACGTCTGTCAATATTAATGTGATTGAGACTAACGATGCACCCTTGTTCACATCCACATGGTACGTGGCAGATGTTAAAGAAGACACCCCAACTGGGACATCTGTGTTAACTGTAAGTGCTTTGGACCTGGACTCTGCACTGAATTGGGATCGATTCATCTTTAGGATTGAAGACGGAAACACAAACTCCTCTTTCTCCATTGATCCACTTAATGGCATTGTGTTAGTAAACTCTGATCTTGACAGGGAACGCTGGCCAGTTTACAATCTCACTGTCACAGCCACCGATCATGGTTCTCCCCCAGCCACTGGGACAACAAACGTCATTGTGAACATAGTTGATGTTAATGACAACGCCCCCCAACTCGTGACAAACAAGATTCAAGTGAAGGAAAATCAACCTGAAGGAACCATAGTTGCCAGATTAAATGCATTTGATTTTGATTTACCTCCAAATCAAGGTCCTTTTACTTTTTGGCTATCAAATTTGTCAGCAGAAAGTGCTTTTATTCTCACTCCGGATGGAGTTTTACTCACCAGACTTGTTGTTGATCGGGAGCATGTCTCTGAATATCGATTACTGGTGGTGGTAAAAGATGCAGGGTTTCCTCTACCACTGTCTTCAACAACAACACTCCACATTAGGGTGGAAGATGAAAACGATAACCCCCCGTTACCACGAAACATCTTTATTGAGGTGAAATATTTTGGCAGTTCTTTTAATGGTGGCATGATTGGCAATGTGCATCCTGAGGATCATGATGAGTCTGATGCATTCCTCTGTTCCATTAGAAGTGGCCCGATTAACATGTTCATGATACCCAATGGTACATGTGAGCTATGGTCATCCCCCTTTCAGGGCGAGGCCACATTCAATGTCACAGTTGAAGCTACAGATCAAGTTCATTTTCCAGTAAATAGCAGTATCTATGTGAACTACAAAGGTTTTACAAATGCATCTGTGGACAGTTGTATTTTTTTCTACGTGGCCTCACGTTCAATGGAAAACTTCTTGACCAATAGGTATTTGCGGTTTGTGAAAGCCTTGGATAGTCTGTTCAACCTGCAGGCTTCAAAGACTCATGTTTTTGGAATCAAACATATTGGCATGGAGATACTACTACTTGCAGCAGTGAAAAACTACAATGGACAATATCTAAGCAGAGAGGTAGCAAGTAGTATATCTGCTGGACATAAGAAGTTACTGGAGTCCCAAAGCAATATGACAATTTCTCACATCACCAGTGATCCATGCCTCATGAGCCCCTGTCAGAACGGGGCCACATGCAACAAAAACATTTACATCAGCCAGGAGGTTGCTGTCCTGGAAAGCATGGCTGTCATCTTTGTGTCGCCACAGAAAGAGATTTTTAATTGTACCTGTTCGGTCGGGTTCAGCGGTTCACTCTGTGAAGATGACATTGATGAATGTGAGGCGAATCCTTGTCAGAACAACAGCACATGTGAAAACACTGCAGGAAGTTTCCGCTGTCACTGTCAGAGTGGCTTCTCTGGCTCAGTCTGCTCGGCTGATGTGGACGAGTGCCTTAAGGTGAAGTGCCAAAATGGTGGGACGTGTATTCAGTCACAGGAGGGATACCACTGCCAGTGTGCACCTGGATTTGAAGGTAGAATTGATCACAAAAACACGCTTCAACATGTTTCATTGTACTAACCTTAACCAGAATCCTTGCAAAAAGTATGTTTACCTATGTTTGCAGGAGAACGGTGTGAACAGCTCAAAGATCACTGCAGGTCTACACCATGTTTTCAGGGAAGATGCATTAACCTACAAACAGGATTCCTCTGTATCTGTCCCTTTGGTAAGAAAAAACATAAAGGCACATGATGCAAAATAGGAGATTGTTATAGAAACAAGAAAGAAATGTGAGCTAATAAAAGCTCACAGTTTACTATATACTAATAACAGCTATTGCTTCGTAACAAGGTTTTATATCGAAATTGACATGTTTGCTTCTGATATTTTATCTTTTGTTAGTTGAAAGCTTCATTCCTTTCAGATAATCAATCCTTTGATCTATTTTTACAATGACCAATGAATTCTAATCCTTTACTTCATTATTAGAACAGAAGCATGTCTTATTTTTTGCTTCCTTTATTCATTGATCATCAAACATATCCAATCTTGATAACAATAAATGTCACTAAATGCATTTTAAAAATATGCATTTGCAGATGTAAAAATAGATAATCTTAGTAGTATTCTCTTACAAATGCTATTTCCATAGAAGAATAAGTGTTTTATGTTACTACAACGTTCCAAGATCACAGTCATTTGTATGACCAGAAATAATGCTTCTGCATTGCGTATTTAACACTGTTAAACACAATCTGATCACTACATAATCCAGGTCTACAAAGATATTTTAGGCATGCTAAAAGTAGTTTTTAGTATTATTGTACCTTAGCACCAAAATATCTGTTTTTAAAAACATTAAATAACTTCATCAAATTACTAAGTATGTCGATTTTATGATCAAGTTACTGCAATTTATTTTCTTTTCAGGAGTCAGTGGTGTCCATTGTGAGGAACCCAGTTATGGCTTTGAAGAAATGTCCTTTGTGGAGTTTCCCCCACTGGATCGCAGGACTAATTTAATTTATTTTGAGTTTGCAACAGTGCAGAGGGACTCCCTACTCCTGTACAATTCAGGAACATTATCCAGCAGGGAGTTTTTTGCACTGGAGATACTTGACAGCAGAGTACAACTCTCTTATGACCTTGGCTCCGGACCTGTAAAGTTGCAGACGCATAAGCAAGTTGCAGATGGACATTTTCACAGCGTTACTGTCAGAAGGATTGGCAATGTGAGCTATAGCTATCTACACAATGTTGACCAGTCATAAGTTGATTAAAATATTCACGTGGATCTGTATATTTTTTAACAGATGGGGACTTTGCTTGTGGACAACTGTACAGATGTTGTGAACAATGGACTTTGTTTTTCAGAGTTTGATGGCACTATCTCAGAGAGGTGCCCATAAGTGAATTCTTACAGATGACAATTTTTGTCATTTTCAGCCTTATCTGAACAACCTTAACCTGAGTAAATAATTTCTTAATTTCTTTTCATCTTTGCATCTCTTAGGACTCTTGACGTTGGAAACACAAATATGACATTTGGCGGACTGAGAAGCCTGGAAGTAATTTTGCAACATCCAAGTCCTATAAAAACACATGACTTTGTTGGGTGCATTCGAAATATTCAGATAAATGGCATCTTGCTGAGACCTTCTTCTGGCCTTGCAACTTATAATGTATTCAACAGGTAGTGTTTCATGCATTTAAGATATTATAAATTTACCACTAAATTTGCAATTATGATGCTACACATTTATTTATTTTTTACATTTTGTTGGAATGTGTTTGAATTATTCTCAAGCAACATGTGCTATTTTTCCCTTTAACAAAGGTGTCCTCGAGCAGCAGTGTCAGGATGCAACAGCTCCCCATGCAAGAATGGGGGCGTGTGTCATGACCTTTGGTCTGAATATGTTTGTGAGTGCAAAACTCCCTTTAGAGGAAGAAACTGTGATACAGGTAAATAAATACATAAGTAAATATGGAGAAGTGGATTGACAAGCCAACCAACAATATTTTCTTAAAAACCAGTGTAACAGTTTTAAGCTATTAAATGCTATTTAACAATGTTCATAAATTAATCACGTCCATTATCTGTCAAAAATCATTCTGTAAGATGAATCCTACCACTAACTCTATTTTCTGTTACTCAAAAAAAAAATCCACGAGATTTCTATGAAATCCTTTAAATTATTATTTATTTACAATAAACACTGAAACTAGCAATTTAACAAAATGAATCTGAGTACTGTACTGTCAATCACAGCTATTAACCATCAAGAATTCATATTATAATTCATCACACAATAGCAAATCCTCCACAGAGCGTCTTCGGGGGATTGTTCCAAGACAATCTGCTGTGGATTTGGAGCCACAGCAGATTGTAAAACTCTATGACTGGAGAAGCGCTGTAGTAATTCAGTCTATTTGCCATTTAAGATGCAAGGTTGCTCTGGGTGAGAGCAACTGGGTCAGGCTGGCTGTCAATTCAGGCAGAGATATTGGTTGTTTGGTTATGAGTCTGGGTTTCAGTGGGACCGAACTGGAAATATAAAGCAAAAAAAGAGAGAGCTTATTAGATTTAGCTGACAGATTCAACGTGGTTAATGACTATTAGCTGACAAATTTCAGCTTCATTTGAACTGGGACTAGTTCAGCACTCCATCTACAGTTAAACAGGATGAAAACCTTTCTTTACAGCTTTACGTATTTCCCTTAGGAATAATACATTTCTTCTAATAAGAGATCTATCGCTTTAGCCACAGACATTTTCAAGGTTTGAGACAATTAATTATCAATATTTAAATTTAAAACCCATAATTTATTATTGCAAAGCCTTATTTACCTAAGAACACTTCGGACAGATTATATGTATTGGGAATCAAACAAATACTTTAGCAATACAGCAAGGTCGTATCTTCATATTTTTAAGATCTTAAGATGCCACCTGCAGAAATAGGAATGTAAATTTGACTGAACTAGGGTTTATCTGTCAAAAAGACACTTTAAGAGTATTCAAGTTCAAATTCAAAGAAGAGAGGCTTCTATACAAAACAAATGAGCAGATAAAAAATACTAGGATTGCCATTAATGTCTTAAGGATTTGATCAAGGAAAAATAAAGGTAAACTGTATTTGTAAAGTGACAAAGAGATCCTGACAATAATTTATATAGTTTGTCTCTTCTTTAAGTCTGATAGCTTGATAGAGCTAATGTGGAGTTACTGAATGTTAGATTTTTCTTTGCGCAATGTTGGGACTGAATATGTTTTCTTACCTTTTTGAAACAGAAATATCTGAAGAACTTGTATTACACTTCAAGGGGATTGATTACATTGAGTATGTCATTAAAGAGCGATTTAAGAGAGACCTTCTGCTTAAAGACCTGCAGGATGGTGCAAAACAGGAAGACACAACAATCCAAACTGTCATTACTGTCAAGTTCAAAACTAAAGAAGATGGAACCCTGCTCTTTATTCTTGGAAAAGGACATGTTGTGTTGATGGTTTGTAAAAAGTATATTTAATATATGGGCATGATATGTCTGAGTATATCAAAAACTCTGACAATCATTTCTAATTTATTTTCAGGTAAGAGACGGACAACCTGTGTTCACTTCCATTGATCCTTTAGGACATATGTCAGAGTTTACAGTGGAGCTGTTAGTTGCTGATGGTCTTTGGCACGTCCTGTCCTTATCGACCAGTGGGAGTAACAATTCACTGTATGTTGATGACAAAATGGTCTTGAACATTACCCAACAAAACATGGACTTAAGACTTTTTAGTTTGGAAAAGATCATTCTTGCTGCCGCTCCACCAAGACAAAGAAAGCTCCAACAGTCAGGTAATCCTATGACTTTTTAGGTTGTTTTTTTGATTGTTTTGTTTTTTTTTTAACAGTGATTTCTTCATTATATAAACAGTGATTTCTTGCCAGTATCAAGTTGGACTCCTTTTTATTCCTGACTAGTCTTATGCCTTAGTTTCACAAATTCAACTAGGTATCAGAAAAATCCTCCAGAGATTTTGATCAATATTTATATAGTAGCTCACACAGTTTCTACAGATTTGTCAGTTTGAAATGCCTTGCTGCTGAAATGTGCTATACAAATAAAATTTGATTGATTGATTGATTGATTGATCGATTGATCGATCAATACTGGATTGAAGATCCAGTATTTTCCATGTTTTTGAGGCCAATTTAATGCATCAAAATGCATTCAAATATCTTTTAAGTTATATTTGATATATACAACTAAAGGTAAGAAATTCAATGTAAAGCCATGAAATGCTTTTTTTTTTTTTGTCATTTTACACTGTCAGCCATGATATGCTCAAAATCATTTAAATCTTTCCATTTTAATGAAGTTGCCAGTATTGTTTCAAGAGAGGCTTTTCTAGAGTCAACCTGACATCTCTGAACTTTCTTGTGGTCACAGGATTTAGTGGATGTGTGGAGTATCTGAACGTTAGCGGTCAAATTCTGCCCGTCAGCGGACACAGTTTAATGGTGGAGGTCTGGCCGAGTTCGACTCTCCCGCAGTCCAGCTGCAGCTCTCCAGGTGTCTGCCTCTTCTCACCATGCACTGAAGAGACCACCTTTTTGAGAACATGTCTTTCAGACTGTCAGAACCGGAGGCCGTGCAGACCGGCAACGCGGGACAGGCCATGCGTGTGTCTGCAGAATGTCTCCAATCATTTTTGTGATATCTGCATTTCCACTGTCAGTGAAGAGTGCTCAGAGAAACAGCACAACAGGCCTTTTTGGATTATAGCGGTGGTTCTCCCTCTGATCTCCATCCTGGTGATTGTATGCATGTTTGCAGTTCTGTACAGATTGAAACAGCGGGATTCAGTTGTTAAAAATGAGAACCTTACACATGAAACAGGGCAAGAAACTGAAAACCCAACAATTTGTTTTGATGGCAATCAGTTGCCGAAAGCTGGACTTTCAACCTCAAAAGGGAAACGTCTTGATCGAATAAGTCCATGTCAGTCAGATGAGAAGCTTAATAGTTACGGACAGCTGATGCTTCCGAGTGAGCTGGAGTATTACGAGATCGGCAGCATCTGTAGTGCATTTAATTCTGACAACAACTCACCAAGGCTCAGCTGGCACAAGCATTTATGCACCACGAAACGTCTTAAAAGTGATTCAAACCAGTGGGGGGATCTGAGGAGGCTGCTAGGTAATTCAAAGAAAGACAATCCTGGTGAACAGAAATGCCCTCCAAAGCATCAAAATATTTCCTCATTTCACAAACAGTCATCGTGTCAGCTTGACGCAGAGCAGCAGAGGCAGAATATGTCCTGTCGTACAAAAGAGTTCCCACAGCCAGAGCTCCTGGAGCCAATGCAGCCACTTAGCTTCGAAGAAATTAGCAAACTGAATGCTCCTCCTGAGCCAGCTTTTTCACATCAAGCGCTTTTAGAGCCTGAACCCCTAGAGTCCACGATGACAACAGAGACCTCATCTGACTGTGAAACAGACAGCACGTTTACTTGCTCTGAGTCTGACTATGACCACTTTAACATCATTACTGGCAAAACATATAGGCATGAGCAGCCATTCCCATCAGAGTGCAGAATAAGCCAGGATGTCTTTGAACTAAAATCCTCCTCCACTTTAAGTCAGGATATTTCCAAGACGGATCCCTTTGCTATGTTTGAACAATGGGAAAAAAATGTAAATGTGCTCCTGACTTTTGGAAGCTACGCTGCAGTGTTTGAGGACATTGCAGGTATGCCCATGGAGTTCAGTCACAGCGGTGATATGCAAAGTGATGAGGAAGAAATTATTTGAAAGGTCAGAGCAGATGAAGTAGTGGATATCTGATTCACTATAATTTTCTACTGTATTTAAATCTCTAGGACAAAGTTGTCTTTCTGGTCAATCGCAAATAAGTTGTTTTCTTTTTGTAATCTGCATCTTCCAAGCTGCTGATTTTATGAAATATGAAATCCTTCCACCTCTTTCATCTTTTGCTTTTATTACATTCCCATTCTGAATAGTGCATTGTTAAGATATGTAATCCAGCGTTCAACTATATCAAAATGGGTTATATTATTTTCTCTTGCCCTATACATGCAGTCTTACTGTATTTTTTCCTTTATTTAGGGATCATCTGTCTGTGATAGAAAACATGATGCTTGATGAGTGCCCCCCCCCCGACCCCCCTGACTGGCAGCATATTATAAACCAAATTATTCAGTATCACATTCTGTTTTCAGGTTTTCAGCATCCCAAGGTGAATGAGTCTTCATCAGCTCAGACAAGTTGTTTGGACTGTTCTGCATGATATATAGAGATATTACTGGGTTATTATTGTGATACTTGAGTAGCAGCTGTATAGAGATTTGTGTGTGGTATACACAATGAGCTCATGCTGCTCAATGCAATGATATCCAGTAGAGTGATGAGGATTTTATCTTGAAAGCTTTTCTGATAAAACTTAAATGAAATCATTTTTGAGAAATATGTGACTCCTGTATGTGTTGTTGGCTTTCATTGTATTAAAATGTTAATGTCCACGACAAACTAATTTGCGTATCTCAGTATTCAAATGGAGTAGAAACCAGATACTTTTTGTAGTTTATCAGCCGAAAATAAAGCACGTCACTGAGAAAATGTAATTCTCTACACCAAAAACTCTACATAAATGTTCTTTGTGTGAAAGAAAGCCATAAGTAGCCATTCTTGCACGGCAGTTTTTTTTTTTTATATGTTATGAGAATATCCAAATATTATATTGTTTAATTGTAATCTAATACAATGTTTCAGCTGTTACTCCATAAATCCTAAAACAAGCACATTTACTTAAATCTGTAATCTCGTTGGTTCAATAAAACACAGAGGTGGGATAAACCCTGGACAGGCTGTAGGTCTATCACAAGACTCCGGTTTAATGTAAAAAGTGTTACATATATTGTGAATCTGGACTTTTTGAAAAGCATATTGCCAGTTTAACTCCATCTAGTGGTGAATTCAAGGAGAGCTTTAATTAAACCATGCGAGGCAATGTCAGACAGAACTCATTCCTGCAGAAAAGAAAAAAATTTAATACATATATAAATCTTTACAGTCAGAACATTGGAGCAGACAGTATTCTCATTTCAGTCAATTCATCTGACGTACAACGAGGCCAAATTACATCAGAACCTTATGAAATGCACTACTTACATAATCAACCACAAAAGCATATTTTAAAAGGACACAGAGAATTAATGTTTTAATTTCATGAAAAAAAGATCTGTCTTTAAATCATCTAAAGCATATTCACGTTCAGTCTTTACATTTAAAACATTTTTTATGTTTGCAAATGGTTTTCTTGTTTCTTTTTTAAAATAATTTAGCTAAACACAGGATGTATGTGCTACCTGCCAAACTCCTTGTATAACTTATAAGCAAACAAACAACAACAGCAAAAAAGAAACTTATGTAGCAAATCTATATGTGTTTACTCATCACAAGTTTGGTCTCATTTTGAAATGCAAGATTTATTTTCCTATTACTGAATCTCTGGGTCAAAGCTTTCTTGATTTCCATAGTTTTCAAGCAGTATATCACAGGGTTGACGGCTGCAGGTATGAGGCTGTACAACATTGTTATAATAATACGAGCATCAAGACTAAATTTGATTCCCAAATTATCAGTGATATATACAATACATCTTGGCATGTAATATAGACAGGTAATGAAGAGTTGAGGGGCACATGTGGACAGGAATTTGTAATCCCTCCCAGAGGCAGACATTTTCACAACAGCCATAATGATAGAAGAGTAAGAAATAATTATAAATGTTAAAGGAACTAAGAGAGTGATCATAGCATTTGCAAATGCAACCATTTTCACATATGCAACATCATCCCCACATCCCAGCTTGGTGATGGAATTATGATCACAGTAGCACTGCATGATGGTATTAAGGTCACAGTAGGGCAACGTCAGGGCATGTAGCACAAGTCCCATAATCCGTATAAAAGTCAGAAACCAGCACAAGCTGCAACAAATAGAAATGTTTTTGTTTGTAAATAAAACTGGATATTTGAATGGAAAACAAACAGCAACAAAGCGATCCAAAGCCATCATCAGCAAAATTAACGAGTGAATCGCTCCCAGAGAGTGAACAAAATACATCTGTGCAAAGCAAACTCCAAACGAGCACATCATATCATTCCACCAATATCTGGCGATGATTTTTGGGAGTGTTACAATGCCAAATAACAGGTCTGTCATTGCAAGGTTTAAAAAGATCATGTACGTTGGCTTGTGGAGAGTCCGCTCACAAATGATGACAGCTAGAATAAAAACATTTCCAAATACAATAGCAATAAAAACAAGTAAGAGAACAAACGATACTATGCCATAGTACTCTGGTGGAAGTCCAGGGAAGCCAACGATCATAAACTCTTTCACATTTGTAACGTTTCTGTATTTGATCATTTATACAACGAAAGGGGGAAAAAATGTTAAACAGAATTAAAATGAAACAGACCTTCAGTTGGAATTAAAAAGCCACAATAAAAACCACTTCAGTTCAGCAGTAAGCTTGGCAATCACAAAATAAATAGTTTGTTTTTCTTTCTAGAATATTCTACAAGTGAACTAATTCCTCTGTATGTTATTTGTAGAGATCATCTTTTGCCTCAAACAGAACCTTGATTCCTTCAGGTGATGTAACCCTGCAGTTGCACCTGCTGATCCTGTGTTTCTATTTAAAGCTTTTCAGCAGACTTTTCTGATGACGTCCATGGAAAAGAAAACTCTGAGGAGCAATATTCCCAAAGAGTCAACATCTTCAAGCTTATGTCATTTAAAAAACTGTTTTGAATGGAATAGGTTGTTTGTGATTTGTCAAAACGTTTAATTTGTTCAAAGATGAATCAATCTCTTATGCCTCAACAGCAGTTGGAAAACACTTAATTTTTCTGTTTTCTCAAAAGAACAGATGTATCTTCTGTTAAAATCAGCAAAAGAAAATTTGTTAAAACATATATTACCCAAATGTATTTGGAAATATTGTGTATGTTTCTCTGTAGTATAGTGCAGCAATAAACTGTGGTCAAGTATTTCTCATAAAATTATTTATCAAAAGTTGGAACATGCCAGAACAACTGGAAACTATCTTAATTTTTCAATCATGTGCTATGCATCTGTAAAAATCTGACCCTGGAAAAAATAAAACCTCCATTAATTTGACACTATTGTCCTGAGAAATTTTGCACTCATAATATATTTCTACCACCTGAATATAGTTTTTAACTACAAGTAGATTTATTGTTCATACATGTTAAACAAAGTTATAAAGAGAAATAGAAATAATAAATTCACTTTACAATTTGCAGTTGAAATTATCTATATATGGTTTATTTTAGGGTTAATACATTTTATAAATTGACAGACTAAAAAAATAGAATAAAAGCAAAAATCAAGAGTTAAATTTTCATTAAAGCAAATCCTTTTGACAAAATAAAACTTCAACTTGACTGAAGTAAGTAGAGCTCTTTCAGTCTCCCAGCTACATCTGTAAAAAGTCTTTGTTCTGCTGTCTTCTTCTGTTAAAATTTAACCAGCCTTTGTTGCTATATTAGTTCATTTGGTAAAAAGCTTCATTTTTAAGCTTTCTTTGATGTCCTTTGTTTTGAAGCAGTATATTATCGGGTTGACAAGAGCAGGTAGAAGACTATACAGCATTACAACAACAATTCGAACTGAAGCATTGAACGTGTATCCTACAAAGTTAGCCAAGTAAACAAAGCACCTTGGCAGATAATAAAGGCAGATGATCATTAGCTGAGGTGTGCAAGTCGACCAAGCCCTAATGCGTCCTTTAGAGGACGATATTTTCAAAACAGAAAAGATGATTATAAAATAGGACAGAACAATAAATCCCAGAGGTATCAACAAGCTGAACATGGCAAGACTCAATCCCAGAACTGTTGAACTTCGTATATTCTCACATCCAAGGTTAATTATTGATAAATGGTCACAGTAGCAGTGAACAATGATATTTGAATTACAAAAAGGTAGACTCAAAGCATCAAAAACTACGCCAAACATCCACGAAATCGGCATAAACCATGATATTCCACAAAGCGCAGAAACAGTCGTATTTGTGAACAGTGAATTGTAGCGCAGAGGAGAACAAATTGCAATGAAGCGATCCAGCGCCATCACCATCAGAATGAAAGAATGAGTTGCTCCTAAAAAGTGAACAAAGTACATTTGGGCAAAACAACTGTAAAATGATACAATTCTGTCATTAAACCAATATAAAGATATTGTCTTTGGTAGCGTTACTGTTCCAAACATTACGTCACTTAGTGCCAAGTGGCAAAAGATGACATATGAGGGTTTGTGAAGAGACCTTTCATATCTAACAAAGACTAAAATAAAAATGTTTCCAGCTGCTATAGCCAAATAAAGCAGGAAAAGTGTAGCTGAAATGGGGCCATAATACTTTGGCACAAGACCTGGAAATCCAGTGATAAAAAAGTTTTTTTATCGTTGTTACATTAGTGTACAACATAATCCTTGTGATTACAACAGTAGAAACAGTGACTAAATATCAAACACAAATGTCAAAGCAGAAAACTGCTAGTTATAGAAAACACTAATTTTAATCTAATATAGCTGTTTCAGCTGTTACTCCATAATTTCTAAAAGAAGCACATTTACTTAAATCTGTATTTTCATTGGTTCAATAAAGCACAGAGGTGGGATAAACCCTGGACAGGCTGTAGGTCTATCACAAGTCTCCAGGTTAATGTAAAAAGGGCTAAATGTATTGTGAATCTGGACTTTTTGAAAAGCATATTGCCAGTTTAACTCCATCTAGTGGTTAAATCAAAGAGAGTTTTAATTAAACCATGCGAGGCAATGTGAGACAGAACTCATTCCTGCAGAAAAGAAAAATATTTAATACATATATAAATCTTTACAATCAGAACATTGGAGCAGACAGTATTCTCATTTCAGTCAATTCATCTGACGTACAACGAGGCCAAATTACATCAGAACCTTATGAAATGTACTGCTGACATAATCAACTAGAAAAGCATATTTTAAAAGAACATAGATAATTAATAATAGCACAAAGTTTAAATTTAAGAAAAAAAAGAAGATCTGTCTTTAAATCATCTAAAGAATATAACTTTTATAACTTATAAGCAAACAAACAAAAAGAAAATTAATGAACTAAAACCAACATTCAACTTTATGTAGCAAATCTATATGTGTTTACTCATCACAAGTTTGGTCTCATTTTGAAATGCAAGATTTATTTTCCTATTACTGAATCTCTGGGTCAAAGCTTTCTTGATTTCCATAGTTTTCAAGCAGTATATCACAGGGTTGACGGCTGCAGGTATGAGGCTGT